TCAGCTAGAATGGTTTTCTCATTTGTAAATAGTTTTTTAAAAAATAACATTTCATGACACCTGAAAATCAAATGCAATTCATATTCCATTGTCCATAAGTTTTATTGAAACACAGTCACACCCATTTTTAACATATGATCTATATGCTTTTGCTCTATAAGAGCAGAGTTGAGGCTGGGCATGGTGGCTCATGCCTGTAATCCCAGCACTTTGGGAGGCCAAGGCGGGCAGACCACCTGAGGTCAGGAGTTTGAGACCAGCCTGGCTAACATGACGAAACCCCATCTCTACTAAAAATACAAAAATTAGCCAAGCGTGGTGGCAGGCGCCTGTAATCCCAGCTACTCAGGAGGCTGAGGCAGGAGAATCACCTGAACCCGGGAGGTGGAGGTTGCAGTGAGCCAAGATCACACCACTGCACTCCAGCCTGGGTGACAAGAGTGAAACTGTGTCTCAAAAAAAAAAAAAAAAAAAAAAAAAAGAGCAGCCTTGAGTAGCTACCACAGAGACTTTGTGGTCATCCAAACCTAAAACATTTCCTATCTGATATTTTACAGAAAACGTTTGCTGACCTCTGAATCAATGGGATGTCTAAAGACCATTTAAAAATACCTGAAGATTTCAGCCTATGAAACTATAATCTTAAGAAAATGAAAAAGGGGGCTAGGCAGTGTGGCTTATGCCTCTAATCCCAGCACTTTGGGAGGCCAACACAGGCAGATCACGAGGTCAAGAGATCAATACCATCCTAGCCAACATGGCAAAAACCCGTCTCTACTAAAAATACCAAAAAAATTAGCTGGGCCATGGTGGCACATGGCTGTAGTCCCAACTATTCGGGAGGCTGAGGTAGAAGAATCATTTGAACCCGGAAGGCGGAGGTTGCAGTGAGCTGAGACTGCACCACTGCATTCCAGCCTGGCGACAGAACAACTCCATCTCAAAAAAAAAAAAAAAAGAAAATGAAAAAGATTGAGGTCTACTCCAAGAAGTCTATAAACATTTTTAAAAGTTGGAGAATAGGCCGGGTGGGTGGCTCACACCTGTAATCCCAGCACTTTAGGAGACTGAGGTGGGTGGATCAGAAAGTCAAGAGATTGAGACCATCCTGGCCAACATGGTGAAACCCTGTCTCTATTAAAAATACAAAAAAGCTGGGTGCGGTGGCTCACGCCTGTAATCCTAGCACTTTGAGAGGCCGAGGTGGATGGATCACCTGAGGTCAGGAGTTCAAGACCAGCCTGGCCATTGTGGTGAAACCCCATCTTTAAAAAAAAAAAAAAAAAATAGCTGGGTGTGGTAGTGCTCGCCTGTAGTCCCAGCTACTTGGGAGGCTGAGGCAGGAGAATTGCTTGAACCTGGGAGGTGGAGGTTGCAGTGAGCTGAGAACACACCATTGCACTACAGCCTGACACCTGAAGACAGAGCAAGACTCTGTCTCAAAAAAAAAAAAAAAAAAGTTGGAGAATAATGTTAAGAAAAATCATCCAAAAATTGGAAATCCAAGAGTGTAGTGTGTCCTTTCAATGTCACACTGGGTCATTGTTTCAGAAGCCCACCCAAGGATTATTTACCCACAAAAATACACAGTTGTTTGACTTTGCTACTTACTAGTAAGGTAAATAGACTCTGAAATTATGAGGAGATACAGTCCAGGAGAGATGAAAAACATGTATATCCAGTAGAAAAAGTAACCTCAAAGGGTACAATTTTTGTCATGTAGGACATCCAGTGCATTTTGCATCTAACCTACTAATCATGTGCTAAACATTCCTCTTCATTTTATTTGTTTTCAGACTTGCTCAGTCACCCAGGCTGGAGTACAATGACACCATCTCAGCTCACTACAATCTCTGCCTCCCAGGTTCAAGCGATTCTCCTGCCTTAGCCTCCCAAGTAGCTGGGATTACAGGCACACACCACCATGTCTGGCTAGTTTTTTGTATTTTTAGTAGAGATGGGGTTTCACTATGTTGGCCAGGCTGGTCTTGATCTCCTGACCTCAGGTGATCCACCCACCTTGGCCTCCCAAAGTGCTGGCATTACAGGCATGAGCCACCGTGCCGGGCCTAACATTCCTCTTTAAATGCCTGCTCTGTCCGGCTCCTTGTGCGCATCACCACCTTATCAAATGGGAATCCCCTCACTGATGAGTTAAAGATCTTTTTTTTTTGAGACAAGGTCTCACTATGTCCCCGTGCTGGACTGTAATGGTGCAAGCAGGGCTGGAATTCCTAGGATCAAGTGATCCTCTCGCCTCAGCCTCCCAAGTAGCTGGGACTACAGGCACGGGCCACCACACCCAGCAAATTTCATTTTAAAAAAATTTTTAGTAGAGAGAGGCCGGGTATGGTGGCTCATGCCTGTAATCCCAGCACTTTGGGAGGCCAAGGTGGGCGAATCATGAGGTCAAGAGATAGAGACCATACTGGCCAGTACGGTGCAACCCCGTCTCTCCTAAAAAATACAAAAATTAGCCAGACATGGTGGTGTGCACCTGTAGTCTCAGCTCCGCAGGGGGCTGAGGCAAGGAAATTGGGGAGGCAGGGGTTGCAGTGAGCCAAGCTCAGGCCATTGCACTCCAGCCTGGCGACAGAGCGAGACACCGTCTCAAAAAAAAAAAAA